CAGGTGACCTATTTTCTTGCAGTCAGAGAGAGAGGGAGAGACAGAGACAGAGGCAAACACAGAGATAGAGCGGCCTCTATTATGCCGCTGCCTCGTTTGTTTGAAGGAGCCATCAGCATAAAACAGCCCCTTGCACTGAGGAAACTGTCTCAGCGCAAGCTCTGCTGATCCAGCAGAGGAGCCTAGGACTAGGATTCTCCATAAAGCCCGGCAGAGTAAACTTTTTGCGATCATGATCATACTTGTGCTGCCACCATTTAACATATGCAACAACTATCGTATGCTTGGCAGGGCCGCCAAATTGCTTTATTTGGCCCAGAAGTGCCGGTACCTCTTATTCATCAAGAGGATGACATGCAGGATAACACGGGTTCATGCACCAACTGGCTAACTATGCCGGCATTGAGGCTCTCCATGAGCTCCCGAAACAACTCGGAACTTGCCTCTCGCTACAAATTCAACCGTACCACCTTTAGAACTGCAAAAGATCGCTCATTCAGATATCTTCAGCGAAGCAGCATGCACATAGGAACCCAAGCCGGGTCCTGCAGGTCACAGCCGCTCCCGGGAATCGTGCAAATCAGAGTAGCCCAGTAACTGCAATCACAGACAACAATCAAAAAGAGTCAAGAGATAACATGAGGTCTTTCCCTTCAAGGTCCTGTGAGGTGCTCCTGAGGCAGACGGCGCATCAAGGTTTCCTCGACGCTTTGCCAGAGCTGCCCTTGCCTCCATCATGGACGAGATTGTCAGTGTTTGAGCAAACCTATAGATCTCATTTAAACCCTAAAGGCCTACAGCAGTCCTCGAAGCCTAGCATCCTATGTACAACCCCAGAGCCCTAAATCCTGAAAGCCCAGAAACTGCTGTGCTTGCGTTAACTTTAAAGGATACAGACTCGATCACCCAGGCTGGTGACGCTAAGCATTTCGGTCATGTTCGGGATGGGGCTCAAGCTGATAAAGCCTACGGCACATAGTCCGATGTACGATTCTTATGGGGTTTACGCTCTCGCAATTCGCACTCTGCCAGATGAGGTCTCTAAACGCGAGATCGGCCTGCAAATTTAGAAATTATATGGTTTACCCTCTCACAACTCGGACTTCCCAGATGAGGTCTCACGCGGGGTGACCGTGAGCTAAGTGTGACGGTGTAGGGCTGACATACTTATCAGCATCTCTACTAGCTTCAAGGCTCTCTCTCTCTCTCTCCCTCACTCTCCGCTGCAAATCATTGTGTCGGGTTTCGAGCGGCTTCCACCCATCTTGCCTTGTAGCGTCAACAGCATCAGCTGGATTCAATGGTACCTGAACGGGTGGAAAATGACAAGTATCAACAACAGAAGGAACTTTTAGGCACAAGTGATGTCCCTGACATTGGCGCCAAGAGCATATGTGCTTCCTTCACGTCACTCTTCCTCCCTCTGTATGCATAGCATAGCCTGCATTCTTGCATTGCCTGTGCTTGTGAAGGCTTGTGGTCCTATGTCGGGGGCCCCATCAGCCCCAAAATACACTCCGCACGAGCAAAAATGCACAACTCGGGTTTGCCGCTCAGCCGTGCCACGTGGGGGACAAGGTCCAGCGTGTTGACGAAACGCGCCACCCGCAAGGCCCCTGTTGTGAGGCACTTCTCCCGAAAGAAGTTTCGAAACATCTCCTCAGCGCTTCGAGCTTCGGGCATCAGTCGTGCTCGGCTCCAGTTGCATCGGCCAACTGGGGGGCTCAGCCGTCCTCACAACCCCCCCCCCCCCCCCCC